ACCCCCCCCCCCCCAACCCCAACGGTGATACCGGTGTTGTCACACGTCGATTAATCGGTGGGAAAATTTCCTCACTGTCACAACCCTAATATCCTTAGATGACCTACATTCATGTCTTTGGTTTAAGTGCACTAATTTCACAGGCTAGCGAACAGACAGAAACTCCCAGACTAGGAGTCTCTGTGTCTGGACTCAAGCAGGCCAGCAACAAACATGTGTGGGCATCTCAGAAAAGTGTCAGCAAATTGTTATCCGTGATTATCAGTGATATTTTATTTATATCATAAATTATATTATGTTGGTGATAACGTATATTGATATAATAGTAATAATAATAATTTATAATTGAATTTTCCTGGTTGTAACTGAAACATTTATTGGTCACCGACATAATCATGCATATCTTGTTTGTAATCAACAAACAGTTTTATCTTAAAGATGTTGCATACCTTTATTGCACATTTTTTGTAACCCCATAGTACAGTTTTATGGAAAAAAAGCTCAATACTATTTGCAATTTGGCTTAATCTTGAAAACGGAAAATATTATTTACTGAAAACATTCTGGAAAAGCAAAGGGGGAAAATAGTCTATTTGCTTGCAATCATTTTGTGTATAAATGTGTGTAAATAAATGAATGCCTGTGTGCCTTTTGCAGCTGTGTGAAGTGGAGCACAGGATGCAGAGTTAACACCACCCTGTGTCTTGCAGAAGAAGCCCGGCTGCCAGACCCTCAGTAGTAGACACATGGCGGCATTGGGGGTAAGTGAATCACTTCCTTTTGTGCTGCACAATGTTTAATCTGACTTAAAAGGAATAGTTTAAAAAAAATGAAAATTTGCAGAAAATTGACACCCTCAGGTCATCCAAAATGTAGAGGAGTTGAACTGATTGAACAAATTTGGAGAAATGTAGCATTACATCACTTGCTCCCCAATGGATCCTCTGCAGTGAATGGGTGCCGTCAGAATGAGAGTTCAAACTGATAAAAACATCACAATAATCCACAAGTAATCCACACAACTCCAGTCCATTGATCAACATCTTGTGAAGTGAAAAGCTGCGTGTTTGTAATAAACATCCATTATATGTTTTAACTTAAAACTGCCACTTCTGGCAAAAATACCATAAAATGTGTTATATCTGTCCATAAGCCATAATAATGCTTCCTCCAGTGAAAAAGTCCATCGCCTGCTGTTCCTCTCACATCAAAATCCACCAATTATTTAGAACCGTTTTGAACTGTTTTTATTTGTAAACTGTGCTTGATCTGTTTCGTTCCTGATTTCACTTCTGATTCATGCAAGATGACTTTTTCACTGGAAAAAGAAGTAAATAGACGTCATTTTATGGATAGACTTGTATTTTAGCCAGAAGCATGGTTTGAAGTTAAAAAATATCTTGATGGATTTTATTTATTACAAAGATGCAGGTTTTCACTTCACTGGAGTTGTGTGGATTACTTCAAAGATATTCAAAGATTATAATCTTGTATATTCTGAAATTTAAGTCTTTAATTCCTTAATAATCATCTCCTCTGCCAGAGCTCACAAACTACATTTGTGCTTGTTTAAATCAAAAATTGTATCGTCATACCTTTTAACAGTTTGTCTATGCTAAGCATGTTATTGACTAAAAATTGTATTGTGACATCTGTTGTGTGACATCCATGACCCTTGTGTAATGTGTTCTTAATACTTGGATTTGACTTTTTTTATCAGAATAATGCATTGACTTATGGGTAAATTAATGGCTTTGAAACTGCAACTTTTATTGAAGCCCACTAATGTGAGAGTGTAATATTCACTGCAGCCCGAGGCAGTTCTCTGTTCTCATTTGACACTGCACTACACTGATTATGTTATTGCAACATGGCTGGTGGCTGAATTCATGACTGAGGTTTGAAAATCTTTTATGAGGAAGTGCCATCACATAAAACACCTGTGATCATGCCTAACTGAACGCATTTAGCCTTATTGCGGTTCTAGCAGTGCTTCCCTTTCATCTTCTTCTTTTCTGCACTTATTTCAGTTCCAACCAGCTCCAACGTACAGACACCATTCAGAGTTTTTGTAATTTCAGTTTATCAGTGCACATTATTCCAAAGAAAAGTTTAAATGCTATTTATACATATTTATAATGTAAAATAAAAACTTTTTTATTAGATTTTATCAAATGTTTTTATTATTTGTTAATAATGTTATTAAAAAATTCTTTAAACCTTTAGGTTTAAATAACATGCACTGATAAACCATGCACAATGAGACGGGGAAGTAATTAGGGTATGTTTACTTTAATGTTGAAGTTTGTGTAATATTTATGTACTTCATCTTAAAGGGGTCATATGATGCAATTTCAATTTTTCCTTTCTCTTTGAAGTGTTACAAGCTCTTGGTGCATAAAGAAGATCTGTAAAGTTGCAAAAACTAAAGTCTCAAATCCAAAGAGATATTCTTTATAAAAGTTAAGATTCAACCACGCCTACCTAAAACGGCTCGTTCTAACACGCCCCCACATGTCTACGTCACGATGTGGGAAGATTTGCATAACGCCGCCCAAATGTTCACGCAAAGAAAGA